ACCTCGTCCGCCACCCCCTGATCCCTAACTGCGCCCCCTTCTTGCCAGGTTACCGTATCTCCTGGGAGGAGTACAACCGCACCAACACGCGTGTCACGCACTACCTCCCCAACGTCACGCTGGAGTACCGTGTCACAGGCCTCACCGCCCTCACCACCTACACCATAGAGGTGGCCGGCATGACCTCCAAGGGCCAGGGCCAGCTGTCCTCCTCCACCATCTCCTCAGGCGTGCCTCCAGGTCAGCGTCCCTGCCGGACCGCATCCAACTGGCCAGTTGGTGACAAATAATCTGCCTCTCGTGAACCTGGGCCTCTGCTCCCCGACGGTGCTGGAGTGCCGATTACCACATTCCTACCCTCCAGATCTGGAGAACGGTGGGGCTTCAGTCCATCTTGATCAGCACAGGGAGCCTCGGCTCCCCATTCTGGGAATGTCGCCCGTCACTTCACACAGTCCCCAAGTGGATCTCATTCAGCAAAGAAAAACACATGATGCCGCGACAAGCTATCTAACGTTTAGCTTCGCTAATTTTGTCACTAGAGGGCACTGCAGCACAGCAGTAGAGTTACGTTAGTGGTTTTCTCTGGCTGTCCTCTTAAAGATTGCAGGAGTCTCTGGAGCAGAGACCTTTATGGTTGTTTTAAATAAAATTCCTCCCCCCCGCCAGTAAATGTACACTAATTAGTTTAAATAATGTGTTCTCATTCAATGTCATTAAAATCGGACCCCCATGGCTTAGCTGCCCTTTTCATAAATCTGTAGTGGCACTTCTGTCCTAAAGTGAAATAAAACTTATTTTGGATTATTTTAACGTTCCGACACGTTTCCACATGACTGTTTATGGAGGTTGCTATTCTCTCACGTGGCTGGCAATCTGCGCCTCCAGCTAAATGCAGCATTTCATATGGGCGTTCACACTGTTTGTTAATATAAAAGATAGGCGCTTGGACGCATATCAGAAAGGACGCCGAGCCCAGGCCCATGAGCCGCACCCCATGGGGGGTTCTGAGGCTGCTGTCTGAGACTGCTCTCTGAGGCTGCTGTCTGAGGCTGCTTTCTGAGGCTGCTTTCTGAGGCTGCTCTCTGAGGCTGCTCTCTGAGGCTGCTGTCAGTGCTGAGAGCTGAAAGCCACCAAACACCCGGGGGTGTCAGAGTGGGCCTTTGGCAGAGTTACCCTACCGATCAATGTTTCTCGTGCTGTCCCCATAATACAAGACTCCGGCCTGTGAAAACGGGGTGGGGGGGTACAAAAGGAGGACTTATTTTTTCTCTGACAATGTGGTACCAAGTCTGTCATAAACAGATTAAAATCTTAGGGCCCAATGTTGTTCCCCTCCTGTGATCTAGTTGGCCTCATACACTGGTCCAATCCCCTCCATCGCTTAGTGGGATTAAAGCTGATGTCAGCATTTGATCAGATTCCTTTTCCACTGTGCTAAAAATTCACTCATTCTCCTTAATGCGCTCCCCCCCCCCCTCGGCAGAGCTCCCTGGGCCCCCCACTAACCTGGCCATCTCCAACATCGGGCCTCGGTCCATCACGCTGCAGTTCAAGCCAGGTTATGACGGCAAGACCTCCATCTCCCGCTGGCAGATGGAGGCCCAGGTAAGCTGGGGGTGGAGGCTCATGTCGCAGGTTAGGGCTCCTGTTTGTTATGTTCCATCTGTCGTCGCTCAGATTCCAAGTATCTCCACCCAGGTCAGCATCATTGGTGAGAATGAGGATTGGGTCATGATACACCAGGTGCCCAACGAACCCGACGCCCGCAGCTTGGAGGTTCCGGGATTGAACCCCTACACCTTCTACAGGTAGCAGTGCTGCACCCACATCTGCTACACATGTGCTGTCACTGTGCCTGCATAAGGATGTACCTCTGCACTGATACTGTATCCTACACTGTTACTATACCTCCACACTAACACGGTATCCTATACAGATACTGTACCTCTGCACTGATACTGTATCCTACACTGTTACTATACCTCCACACTAACACGGTATCCTATACAGATACTGTACCTCTGCACTGACACAGTATCCTACTCCAGTACTGTACCTCTGCACTGATATTGTACCTCAGCACTTATACTGTATCTTACACTGATACTGTACCTCTAAACTGACAATGTGTCCTACACCAATACTGAACCTCTAAACCTCTCTGTCCACACCGTGCCCTGCACTCTTTGATCTTACTGAGTCCCCACGACTTCCCCAGGTTTCGAATGCGCCAGGTCAACATTGTAGGCACCAGCCCCCCCAGCCAGCCATCCCGGAAGATCCAGACCATGCAGGCCCCACCCGACATGGCCCCTGTCAACGTGACCCTGCGCACAGCCAGCGAGACCAGCCTGTGGCTGCGCTGGGTGGTGAGTTACTGTGAGATATGTCAGTCCACCACGTGCTTTTTGAAATCTTCCGGAGAACCTTATGGATGAGTGTGTGTGGGAGTATGGATGAGTGTGTGTGGGAGTATGGATGAGTGTGTGTGGGAGTATGGATGAGTGTATTTGTGGAGTAACCGTGACTTGCCCTGCCCCGGTAGCCCCTTCCAGAGTGGGAGTACAACGGGAACCCAGAGCTGGTGGGATATCGGATCCAGTACTCCCGAACCCGGCCACAGGCCCGGGCACTGACCCACGTCATCACCGACCGCCTGGAACGCGAATTCACCATCGAGGACCTGGAAGAGTGGACCGAGTATGAGGTCCGGGTGCAGGCTGTGAATGGCATCGGCGCTGGGCCTTGGAGCCAGTCAGTCCGGGGTCGGACACGGGAGTCAGGTGGGCGTCCTCACAGCCATACGTGCACATGGTCCTGTACACACGTGCCGGGGGAGGAGCTCGAGGACTTCTGGCAGCGTTACGGAAAAGGCCCAACATCTGCAACCTCCCAGCGATGCCCATGCCCACTAACCTCTGACCCTTTCCCCCGCAGTCCCTTCCTGCGGACCCACCAACGTCTCTGCCTTTGCCACCACCTCTAGCAGCATCCTGGTCCGCTGGTTGGAAGTGCCTGAACCAGACCGTAACGGCCTCATCCTGGGGTACAAGGTGCGCTGGCCCCCCATCTCTTCCCACGGCAGGGGTGTGGTCAGTCAGAAAATGACTTTGACCTCTGACCTCTAACCTATCACCTTGAACAGGTGGTGTACAAAGAGAAAGACTCGGATGTGTCGCCGCAGTTCTGGATGGTTGAGGGCAACACCACCCACAGCATCCAGCTAAGCGGGCTGGGCAAGTATGTCCTGTATGAGATCCAGGTGCTAGCCTTCACCCGCATCGGCGACGGGGCACCCAGTGCCCCCCCCATCCTGGAGAGGACCCTCGATGATGGTAATCCTAATCCACACACCCTTAATAGGTTCTGTTAATCCTTATATCAGCAGAAGTCATATGTATGTACTGTCCATTCATATTTTATGTTTATAATCTAAATCAGGCATCCATGTTCCTCAAGAATGCCTTCATTAAGCTCATTATTTTCTTAATTAAACTCAAGTAAACTGAAGCAGTTTATTAAAACCTGAAACACAGATGCTCACTGCCACCCCTCCTGGGGCCCCTGGACTATCTAATATCCATGTTCAGGGTGGCACACTACAGCAAACTGACCAACACAGAAAATGTACAGAAAATGAGGAAATAACTATCTGCTCCCCACCCAGTCCCGGGACCCCCAGTGGGCATTCTGTTCCCCGAAGTCCGGACCAACTCGGTCCGACTGATCTGGCAGAGCCCCGCCCAGCCCAATGGCATCATCCTGGGTGAGTGCTGTGCGCCCTCTTCAGGCCCATCCAGGAATGTCACCATCATCTCCAACCATGGCTCCTCATTAGGAGATGCCCAGGTTAAAGTGACCTCCCCCACTGTCTGTCCTCCTCTCTCACCAGCCTATCAGATCACATACCGCCTGAACTCCACCAATAGCAACACAGCGACAGTGGATGTGCTGAACCCCAGCGCACGGCAGTACACCGTGCTGGGTCTGAAGCCTGAGTCAGTCTACGTGTTCCGCATCACGGCACAGACACGCAAGGGCTGGGGGGAGGCAGCTGAGGCCATAGTAATCACCACTGAGAAGAGAGGTACACCCCCCCCCCCCGGAAGCCTTCACTGGCACCCCAGCTGCTGTCTCACTGTGGCCTGCCGTCTGGATGTGCGTCTCCCTCTCTGTGTGACACTGCTGGCAGTCCCACCTTGGGACCTGTCCGACATGCCGGTGTGGCTCGCCCCAGTCCTCGGGGACCCCAACACAGTCCACGTTTGGCTCCCAACACACCGGAACCAGACAATAAAGAACCGGATACCTGGCACAGGTGTGCTGGGAGGGAGAAAAATGTGGATCCCCGAGGGCTGGGAAACACTGCTCGACACCACCCCAAGAGCTTTGCGCTTTGCTCGATTCCACCTGCAGCCTTGTCGACTGACAGTAGGTGTCACTGTAGAGCAGTGGAAGTAATGTCCAGGGCAGTTTCATACACCTATATCCATGTGTACTGCATGTGCTGTGAGGGAACAGCCAGGGATTATCCTGGGTTTAGGGCAGAACCTGCAGCCTTGGATAACAAGGCCGGGTCTATTCACTCCCTCCACCCTCCCCACAGCCCGACCCCAGCCCACCAGCCGGCCCACGGTGCAACAAGAGGATGTGCAGGCACGCAGCGTCCTGTTGTCATGGGAACCCGGCAGTGACGGGCTCTCCCCAGTGCGGTACTACACGATCCAGTCCCGGGAGCTGCCGGACAGCAACTGGACAGTGCACTCGGCCTCTGTCAGCCACGAGGCCAGCTCCTATGTCGTGGACAGGTGGGGGTGGGGCCTGGGAGACTGGGCAGGGCTTCCTTCTCAAATAAGATAACATAAAACTGTGTCCGGTTGTTCCTTAAAGAGGGCAGTTAGGGCTGTAAGGTGACCAGGCGTGGGGGTGTGACCATGCTGATATTCTCTTCCTGTCAAATCAAAATTTTAAGTAAATTTTTCCCCCCTGGGTCTCAGGAGCACACAGGAGCAGGTAAAGTGCACACAAACAAATAGGTACTGCAAAACAAGAGCGCACTGCAACTGCAAAGACAGTGCACTGCAAAGACTGCAAAGACAGTGCACTGCAAAGACTGCAAATAGTGTAGGCAAATAGACATAGTGGAAAAGATGTTTTAAAAATGACCCAGTAGAAACAGAATAACATGAAAAGGAGAATAATTGCACATATAAATAAGAATAAGTTTCAGGTGTGTGAGGCAAACAAACAGTATGCTAAGAGATAAATACAACACGTCTCTGACAGACGGTAATTAATGCCTGTTTTCCTGACATATTTAACGAGTCCCATGTCCGGGCAGAGATGAGCTTCACCATGTAGGATCAGCGTGAAGCCGCTACCGCGTGTTCATTCCTGCCTAGGCCCCCACCCCCCAGCTGCCCCCCTCGAAAGTGCCTCCTTCATGCTGCACGCGTGTAAATCCCCCTGCCTCTCAGCGGTGTGCCCCGCCATGCAGACCACCCTGTGGGCCATTACACCAAACATTAAATAAACGCATCTCGTATTTAGGAGATGCTGAAGCAGCGTGTTCTTCTAACCAGCTATGCTCTCCTGAAACTACTCACCAGCTACATATTCTGCGAGGGGGGGAAGCTGGACGGGACACGATGGGATAAAACCACGTTTGTGATGCCCCCTTTCTGCTGGCTCTCACCCTGCCTCAGACTCAAGCCTTTCACCTCCTACCAGTTCCGGGTGAAGGCGACTAACGACATCGGCGACAGCGAGTACAGCGAGGAGAGCGAGGCTATCACTACCCTGCAGGACGGTGAGACCTCTGACCTTTGACCTCTCATAGCAAGACACCAGAGCCGTTCTCTCCCTGTCTCTCTCTATCTCCACCAGTAGGGGGAGTGTTTATGTGAGGCACACTGTCTTCATTTTCACACTGATCCAGGTCGAGCCGCAGGGCTGAAGTGGGTGTGTAATTGTGCCTGTTGCGTAATTGTGCCTATTGCGTAATTGTGTGTGTAATTGTTGTGTGAGAGAATACGGGCAACCCGAGGCAGTCCTGGCAGAGGTGAAAATACATGATGTCACATGATGTCACAGTGAGGTTGTCTGTGTTACCAATCTTGCTATTAGGTCTTCAAAGGCCCAACAAAGACTCACTTTTATCCCTCTCCCCCACCCCGGCCCTGTACTCCCCAGCCCCAGATGAGGCCCCCGTGATCCTCTCAGTCACCCCGCACACCACCACCTCAGTGCTGATCCGGTGGCAGGTAAGCATGTTACATTAATGCCGGGTGACGCTAATGCTACGTGTGCTAACACGGCTAGCAGCGCCGCATGCTAACGCAGAGCTCTATGCTTAATGCAATAGAGGCACATGTGGCAAACCGCTGTCAGGAGAAACATGAGCTGCTCCACAGAGCCCCCTCCACTTGGCTCAGATGCAGCATAATCAGGCAGCGAAGGGGAGAAATATTAATGACAAGATCCAGCCTCTTGCTCATTCTTGTTGCTTCGTGTTTTATGGGAAGGGAGACACTCAAGATCCTTCAATCACAGCCTTGGACGAGATCACGCCCTCCCATATCTGAGAGCTGCAGAGATCATATTTGGCAGGGATTTGGTCCATGGAGTGGCTGTGCTGACAGACAGAAAAACAGCAGGATGTTATGGGGGAGTGCAGTATGGCATTGACCTGCAGGGGGCAGAGATCCTCAGAGCGGACAGACACCGGAGAGGAGCAAAGCTGGAGTTCTGGGTCTCCCCAGAATAGGTACCTCAGTTTTATTTAGTTTTGTCACACATGCCCGCCCCCCACAGCCCCCCCCAGAAGAGCAGATAAACGGGATCCTGCTGGGATTTCGGGTGTGGTACAGAGAGCTGCTGTATGACCGACTGCGCAGCTTCTCCGAACGCTCTGCCGACAGCCCATCGGCCCCCTGGACCGAGTTGACTTGTGAGTGCCTGGTGGACCCCCACCCCCGGCCCATATTTGCTTTCAGATGTTTTCCAATGTCACCAACTTTCCAGTTACCCACTCGTAGTAAAGTCCAAGCATAACCTTGGAAGACACACGGATGGACAAATCAAAGCCTCTCCTTTGGCTCACAGATTTCGGAGGGGGGGGGGGAGCTGCTGTGGACGTGGTCATAAAGCCCCACCTTTGTGAATCACCTGTTCCTTAACCGCTAAACCCATCAGGTTTACGTCAGCGACAGGCAGAACTCACAGTGGGACACTTACATGCGCGCACACCTGCATTACACTGTGATATCTATGCACGCTTGTGTGGACACGTATTACATGCGATATCTGTGCACGATTGCACAGACATGCATTACATGCGATATCTGTGTACGTTTGTACAGACACCCCCACTCAGTCACCCTCACCTTTCAGGGTCCTACTGCTTACTGTTTAGATTTTGCTGTGGTCAAGTTCTTTCTGACATGTGACCTCTGCAGTGCACTGTCAGGCAGTGTGAATAAGGGCACTAACTCCTGTCTCTCCCCCCTTGTCTCCCTGTCCTTTGACCCCAAACTCTTCACCCTGCACCCCACCTCCCCCCAGCCCCCTACAGCATACGCAACCTGAGTGATACATCTCTCACTCAGCATGAGCTGGACAGTAAGTCTTCACACCTCATTCCTTCTCTCCCAATATATCTCTCCCTCCCTCTGTCTCGCTTTCCCCTCTTTCCCTGTCTCTCTCTCCCTCATTCCCTCTCTCTCTCCCTCTCTCTCTGTCTCCTTCCCTCCCTGTCTCCATCTCTCTCTCTCTCTCTCTCACTCATATTTCCCCTGTATTCATTGCCAGGGCCTGATGCGGTCTGTGTTATTTTCAGCGTTTGTTTCTCACATAAAGACACTGTCAGTGCTGCAGTCAGTGTCCTCCCAACATCTGCCAGGTCACTGCCTCCTGTCACCCAGACCGTTTTAAATATGCTGTTTACTCTGCTGTTTTTCTCTTGTACTTTCTGTAGATGCTGTTCCTCTCGAGTACTGCTCAGTAGGAAGGACACACACACACACACACACACACACACACACACACACACACTTACCCACCTATGGAGATAACATAGTCAAGCTTCAGCACAGTAGAAAACCCTCTGCAGCCCAACTCTGGCCTGCCTTTCCCTGTCGGACCCCGGGCTCAGGCCTGCCTTTCCCTGTCGGACCCTGGGCTCAGGCCTGCCTTTCCCTGTCGGACCCTGGGCTCAGGCCTGTCTTTCCCTGTAGGACCCTGGGCTTTAGCCTGCCTTTCCTTGTAGGACCCTGAGCTTTGGCCTGCCTTTCCTTGTAGGACCTCAGGCTCTGACCTGCCTTTCTCTATAGGACCATGGTCTCGGGCCTGCCTTTCCCTGTAGGACCCAGGGCTTGGGCCTGCCTTTTCCTGTAGGACCCTGGGCTTGGGCCTACCTTTCCATGTAGGACCCCTGGCTCTAAACCTGCCTTTCTCTGTAGGACCCTGAGCTTTGGCCTGCCTTTCCCACTAGGACCCTAGGCTTGGGCCTGCCTTTCCTTGTAGGACCCGGGCTCTGACCTGCCTTTCTCTATAGGACCATGGTCTCGGGCCTGCCTTTCCTTGTAGGACCCGGGCTCTGACCTGCCTTTTCCTGTAGAACCCCAGGCTCTGGTTTTTTCCTGCTCTTTGTTCTTTCACACGTTGCTCTGGTGGAGGATCCAGCTCCTCTCTGCCTTGAGTGGATCCATTTCCTCGGGCCTCCTCCCATCAGGGAGCGTTGAGCTCACGCAGGAGGCCCCTACACTTTTTATTAGGACATAAGCCAGGGAATGAGAGAGATACTGATTCTTTAACATACGTCACGGTGTACTCCTGCCATCCATCTTGCATTCCTTTTCTACTTTCTCTACAATGTTCCATGATGTTCTGGGCCAGACCCCTCATGCGGAGACGTCCCGGCCAGCATGTCCCTGTTCACCCCTGGCTCATGTCTCTGTGTTTTGCCCCGCAGGCCTCAGCAAGCACAAGAGATATGAGATCCGGCTGAGTGTGTACAACGCCGTGGGGGATGGGCCCACCAGCGCGCCCCATGAGGTCTTTGTGGGAGAGGCAGGTAAGATGACCGGTGGCACAGAATCTTCCAGAAATCCCCCCAAAGTGATGATACGTTCAACAGGTCCACTGCGATGCATCTAGACAAATATTTACAGGGAGATGTAAGGACTCGCTGAGCTGCGGCTGTGTTGAGCTTCCCCTGAGTCCCTTTTGATCGCCTGAATTCCTGCCTCTGATCTCTGAACAAACAGAAGGTTACCCTCCACACGCAATGCAAGTCAAACCCAATCTTTCCTTTTTGGTAAAGAGCACTGATTTTTTTCTTTACCCCCCCGACATGAAGTTCCTACAGCTCCACCCCAAAAGGTTGCTATCCAATCAGCAACGGCCACCCAGCTTGATGTGACGTGGGAGCCCCCTCCTCTGGAAACTCAAAATGGGGACATTCAGGGGTATAAGGTAAGCTGGGGGGGGCAGAATGTGAGGGTTGATCTGTCACTTCACATTTTTATTATGCTGTATAGCTTTCTCTATAGAAGCAGTACTGGGTAGAGCAGGGAAGCGCAGTGGAGACAGACAGCATTTTATCCACAGAGCTGATCCTGTTACTTCAGTTTGCAGGAAACACCTTTACACTCAGTCACTCTGTTGGGATTCAGACTTTAGCTCCAGCATAACCATGCTATCCTGCCCCCAATGCCCCCACTGTAGATCTATTTCTGGGAGTTCCAGCGGCAAAACGATACGGAACGGCTACGCACCCTTTTCCTGCCAGAGGGGGGCGCCAAGCTGAAGAACCTGACCGGCTACACCACGTACATGATCAGTGTGGCGGCCTTCAATGCGGCCGGTGACGGCCCTCGTAGCCCACCCACAAGGGGGCGCACCCAGCAGGCAGGTAAGGTGGGCAAAGGAGGGGCCTTTATAAACATTTATGAACACCTGCTCCTTAGTCATCACTCCCCCTGCTGGTGCAATAAGCTAAATAAAATACTGCATACAATATATTTAAATAATGCCCATCATTAGGACACAGTTGGACACTCTTGAGGGTAAACAGGATGCGGGGTTCTACAAGGGTATCTGGGCAGGTGACTGAGGCTGAAATGAGCAGAAACATGTGCAAGTGACAAAGGGAAATTTCCAGACACCAAAACACAGGTTATTCCTGTAGCCTGCAGTCCTACAGGAGGCTACAGAATGTTGGGCTACATGATGTGAAGCAGACTCCGGGCTGTGGGGGAAAGGGCTTCTCCTCTGGCTTTTAGGACACGTCCGAGGCACCGGGAAGCTGCCAACCCTTCAGCGGAGAAGCCCGGCCAACAGCATGAGGGACACGGCCGCCAAACACCCCCCCCCGCACAGGAAGGCCACCATCCAGCCTCTGGAAAATACGTTTTCCATCCCTCTTTTCTGAAAGGGAACTTTTCTCATTTTTTTAATCCCATCTGGGTATCTTCTCGGGGGTTGGCTCAGTGGCACCACATTGCCATAGAGACGGAAGCGTATGACAGCCATGTCGAGGGGAAAGGGGAGGGAGTCTGGGGCCGATTTTTTGGCAGGGTGGTACAATGGGGCCTGTGTTTGGCCGTCCCGGGGCCTTCCTCGACAATCCGCAGTGACAAAAGGGCAGAAAAAACATTTTTTTTGTGGCCCCCTGTGCCTCTGGAGGCCCCGAGCGGCTGGCCCCCGTCGGCCGAGACCCACTGTGGCCGGACCAGACTGTGAGAGTGACCCACAGGCAGGAAGGCTGCTTTTCTCCGCCTCACCACGCCGGAGATGGTCTGCCACCCCCCCCCCCCCCCCAGGGCTTCCTGACTGCAGTGCCCCCCCCCAAAAACCAGCGCGTTTGGCTGCATAAACAAACGCGCCTTTTTCCATCATCTCCCTCCTCTGCTTAATCTGTCTGTACGTTTCCATGCTGGAATTCGAACCCGTGGAGGATTAGCTTAGACCACACAGAGACGTGACTGCTACTGGTCGCCGTTTTTTCCTCTCCAAGGGGGCTGACTCACATAATCCTGTTTCTGGAAGCGTGGCATTTGGATCGGTATGACCTTCAAATGGCGCAGGTATGCTGCTGTAGAACTTTCCCTCTGGGGGTCAGTGAGGTGCAGCCTCATCTCACCTTGCCGTCTGTAACCCCCACCCCCGTGATCTGACTCCGCCTACATTGACATATGCTGTTTCCTCTACCGCAGCCCCCAGTGCTCCCAGCTTCATCCACTTCAGTGAGCTCACCACCACCTCCGTCAACGTGTCCTGGGGGGAGCCACTGTATCCTAATGGCATCATTGAAGGGTACCGTCTGGTCTACGAGCCCTGCACACCTGTGGATGGTAAACTCCGCCTCCCACCAGTACCGTTTTAAAAATACCAGTTAATCTGTCACCTCTGAGTAACCCCTCCTGATCTAGTGTATACATGTGTTAACCTGCCTTCTGTGCTGCAGAACAGACCTCAAGACACACCGCGTTCTAACTGGCCTATGGTAACTCCCTCCCAGGCATCAGTAAGATTGTGACAGTGGACGTGAAGGGTGGCGCCCCCTTCTGGATGAAAATCAAAGACCTGGCCGATGGCGTCACCTACAACTTTCGCATCAGGGCCAAGACCTTCACGTATGGCCCTGAGGTGGAGGCCAACATCACCACCGGTCCTGGAGAAGGTCAGAGAGCCACTTCATCAGCAGTCTTCTCCAGCTTTCAGCTTACGGTGCTGTTCCACTGCTACAAGGAACCGTGCGGCATCTGAGCCAACAGTATCACCAAACCGAGCTGGACGCCTTGCCTCCATCTGATTGGTCGAAATGCACAGAGATGCTGGTGTCCTCCACATTGAATATCTATGGAAAAGTGTATATTCTATATATTATTCATTATTAGTAGTATCACACATCCAGATGATGCATTCCTGTTAACTCAGAACTTGAAAATTTCCAACCTACTTTATTAAAAAAAAAAAAAAAAAAAAAATTCCCAACCTACTTCAAAAAGTACTACAGAACAGCTGAACAGAATGGATTTGTAATGCAAATTTACGCAAACAAAAGCTAAGCGTTTGATACATAACATGGCGAGTATCACAGACATGCTAGTGGAGTAAAAATAATAATAATACTAATAATAATAATAATAGTAATTGCACATAGTAAATCATGATGTACACTGGGTGAATTGAGAAGACCCTTCTGCAGTGGAAAATCAAAGCGAGATGGAACCGCGCTGAAACTCGTTTCTTCACAGTACGGCTCGGATACCGGTCAGTTCCTGTATGCCAGTGGAAAAGCACCATTACTGTGACATTGAACCATCTCTCATATTTTAATTAGGATATGACCGTCCTATAGACCCTCCCACTCCTCACACCCCCTCTCACCCTCCCACCGAAGCCGCTGGTTCTCCTATAGACCCCCCCACTCCCACTCCTCACACCCCCTCTCACCCTCCCGCCGAAGCCGCTGGGTCTCCTATAGACCCCCCCACTCCCACTCCTCACACCCCCTCTCACCCTACCGCCGAAGCCGCTGGTTCTCCTATAGACCCCCCTAAGGCTCTCCTCACACCGCTCTGTCTCACCCCGCCCCAGGGGCCCCTGGTCCTCCTGGAGACCCCTTCATATCACGCTACGGTGCGGCCCTCACGATTCACTGGACCAGCGGGGACCCTGGAAGGGCGCCCATCACACGCTACGTCATTGAGGCCAGGCCTTCGGGTAAGTGACTAGGAAAGGGGGGAATTCCTTAGAATTTTCTGGGACCGTCTGTGAGGCACATGGCATGTCTGCATCAAATGATGGACCGCATAGCAGATGTGCACAGGAGCAGGATCAAAGGGCAGCATATGGGGTGGGGGTGGTAGGGCAGTGTGACAAGTGGCAGTTCGATCGCGATGAGTGGACTGCGACTGTGGGGGTATTGAGTTTCGGTCTTACTCAACAATGAGCTGGGCAGGGGGCCACGCAGGGACGTGAGCAATGGCAGATTGATTACATCTTTTAAAGGGGTAGTGTGCAGATTGGGCCTGGGGGGTTACACAGCATGCACACCCTCCGATGCTGCAGGGAAACACCATGTCACAGGGGAATGACGATCAAGGCTATCACTTACCAAGCACCCTGGAGGAGAAGTCTGTCATCTTATAGCTAGCTGGGAGCCTCCTCCTAGCTGACAGCTTTAGGACCCAGAGGTGACCGTCAGGCGAGCTGTAAGCCACTGTGTTCTATGCTTCAGATAAGGTGGCCTTACAAGGCTCCACACCGATGCAATGAGCACAGAAAGGAAGGTCTGGTGGCTCTAGACAACCTCAGCTGCTCCCAGGCAGCCCCTAACCCACCCCCTCCATCCCACCTGATACAGATGAGGGGCTCTGGGACATCCTGATCAAGGACATCCCCAAGGAAGTGACATCATATACTTTCAGCATGGACATCCTGAAGCAAGGGGTCAGCTATGACTTCCGGGTCATCGGTGTGAACGACTATGGCTATGGGTCCCCCAGCCCCCCATCACCGTCCATATCAGGTCAGCCGTTACATAAATTCGCATTTACTCTGCTTAGCAAATCATTCTGCAACTAAAACTGTTTTCTTAGAAATTCTTCACAAGTTCTGCAATGTGATATCAACAAAAATGTTGCCTCCAGCACAAAAGGTGGCACCCTTCTATGAAGAGTGGTGGTTTCTGGTCGTGGTGGCCCTGGTGGGCCTCATCTTCATCCTCCTGCTAGTGTTCATCCTCATCATCCGAGGACAGAGCAAGAAGTACGCCAAGAAGTCAGACTCAGGTGAGCAGGGCCAGAACCTTGACGTGAGGCAAATCCCGGGGGTGACAGTTCCCCAGGCTTGAGAAGTGGCACGCCCATAATCCCCTCCACGATACTCGTGACTAGTCATTGGCTTTTTGTAGGAGTTATATTACCTTTGACTGAAAGTCAAAAATAATTTGAGTTCTCAAAGGCTGAGGTCTATAATCCTCGTTCCCTTGATGACTGAAGCTCAAATTTTTTATCTAGTAAGGCCTGGAGAAGACATCTGAAATCTATTAACAATTTCTCTCAGGGTTGTCTCAGAGGATCATCATCAGTAAAACTCAAATAAGAAGCCTTTAAGCACTTTTGTGCTCAGCAGACCTGTAGCAGGTCATGCTTTACTGGGTCTCTGTGCTTCAATCATCCTTGAGTCCCTCTTACTGCCGTCTTATTTGAGAGGCGATGCCCCACTGACAGATGTCAGGGGCGTGGAGAAGGTCACGCTTCACCGAAGGCTGTTGGGAATCCTGCGGTACTCCAGCGAGGCGGCTCTGATCGGTCACATAAAGCCTTCAGTCTAGCTGTCTGGAAGCATCTGGACCTCTGAGGGAAATCGTGATGGATACTAATCAAGGGGGGGACGGAGAGAACGCCAGCGAGAGTGGGGAGAGAAAAGAGTGAGCGAGATAGCAGGTGAGGGGAAGAGGGGGCCGGTGTGTGAGGTGAGGAGGCCGGCTTGTGTCCGATAGCAGCATTCTGCCTCTGCAGAGTCAGCATTCAGCATGGAGTCTCCGCCAGCTTGGTCTCTGCACGGGTCAGGAAACATCATTCTGGCTGAGAGGGGAAACACAAGAGGCCCTTTTTTATGGGATACAAAGAAGGACTGTCAAGGCCTTCGGAGCCAGGCGAACACCCCCCCCCCACACACACACACACACACCCAACACCCACCCTCACATTCACCTTGACCAGAAATGTTTGTTTAACCGCGACTCTGGCGGTAGACAGTTGTGGTGGGTGCGTGTCATCGGGTCAAAGCCGACACTCCCGCTTCCCTGAGTTCTCACCTCGGTTCCAGGGTTGCCCCGTGACTCTGGGGTCGTGGGACCTGCAGGATCGCCCCAGATGTGTAAACAAATGCTGACAGATTAGGGGACGTTTAAAGTTCCCCTGTGCACGGCTTTGGGTCTGGCCGATAAAATGCTGAAGAAGGAGTCTTATCTCAGCGCTGAGCAGCCAGGTCCAGCCTCACAGGACTGCAGGCCTATAGATATCACAACACGTTTTAATTAGCTGCTAATTTGGGCTTGAAAGACCTCACTCAAGTGACGTAGATCGAAACCAGCACAACCAGGACTCCAGCGCTGCAGCTAGGCCTCTTCCTTTGGGGTCATAAATGTACCCATTTGGACTGCCCTGCGGAACTTCGGAAACTAGTTTCTCACAAATAGTTCAACAAATTCTAAATTCATGATGCGAGAAGTATGTTGATTATAACAGTGTTGTTTTTGTTAATATTACACTTGAAACTAAATCGAAAACGGTTTGAATGTTGATCCATCAACCCAGAAGTCAAAGCAATACATAATAGGAGCAGGTGACAGGGCTCAGTCTTTGGGCTTGGATTTCTGGATCCACTCTCTTCATTTCTAGTCTGTTAGAGATCCACTTCCTAGTTCCAAGTCACCAGCAGTCCCGTCTACTCCTGCTCCCCGTCTCGTGGGCTCCCATCTCTTGTGCCGCATTTACTTCCTCCGCCCGCGTATTTCTTTCTGGAGCTGTCCAATCAGTGAGCAGCCCTAAGCCCTAACTACTTCCTGTTTGCCATGGTGCCTTTTCCACTGGATTCAGGGACCACCAGACACACGTGGCTTTTTGCTGTGGGATGGCCCAGCGTGGGTCACATGCGTTCTGTCTTCATTTCTTGTCAGATAGTTGAGATAATGAAAAGATATACACAAGGGTATCTCAGTTTGTTGTGACAGAACGATCGCCGTTTACAAAAGTAGTGCCCCCCCCCCAAGTCAATCCCTAGTACAAAGGCATTTGGCAGCAATCACAGCTCACATTCCTTGTGGCTCTTTTCACATTTACATTTTGGAATTTTCCCCCAATCCTCTAAGCAAATTTTCTCCTACCTGCGCCAAGTTTGACCCAGAGCTTTTAAGGACAGCAAGTTTCAGGTCACACTGGAGACCTCTAATGGGATTTCTTGACTTTAAGTCATGCCTTTGTAATGTGTGCCATGAGGTTTGGGTCCTGACTCCCATGCATGCTGTCCCGAGGATTTGTCTAATTTGATGCCACCCATCTTGCCCTAACTGGCAAAAGGCCTTCCCAGAAGAAAGATGTTGAAGTTAGAGTTGGTGTTACCTGGGCAATAGACTGTGTTGGGTTTGTACCAGACTTTGTGCTTCTCTTTCACACCAAAGAACTGTGGCTTTGTCCATCAACAACGGCTTCCATAAGGTCTCAGCATCTGCCATGTGACATCTGGCAAGCTAGAGGAGTGCAGTAATTGTGGCCTTTGGGTTTAATCACTGTCTCAGAGGGGTCACTGAAGGGGGTGAATACTTACGATTTAATCTCTTCCGTTTGAAATGTTTAGTATCTTTCTAAACACATCTAAATATTATAGGTTGTTGCTCATGTATGAAAATACAATAATACCCTATATTTAAACTTTACAAATCAGAAAATGGGAAATTCATCAGTGGGATGAATACTCGAAGGAATTGTGCACAACTGTGCTTTTATTTTAGAGTTTGCAGCAGTTAACAAAAGTAAGAGTAGTGAGTTTAGTGACTGGTGTTAGACTGGTGCCTTCATGTGAACGACACCCTGAAGGCTCCTCTGAGGATTCCTGCTGCTGGTCCCATGATCTGAATGTCTGGCTGTAATGCTGCCGGTTCCTTTGTGCAAAGGGTTCAGTTGATCCTGTCTCCAATGCGCAGGGAACAACTCCAACTGCAACGCGCTGACACATGGTGAGATGGTGAGTCTGGACGAGGGCCGTTTCCCCTCCCTGGAGCTCAACAACCGCAGGCTGTCCGTCAAGAACTCCTTCTGCCGCAAGAACGGCGTCTACACCCGGTAAGACTGAGCCTCTGCGTGCAACTTCAGGTACACGGGGCATGCTGTTCTTCTTTAGCTCAAGCCAGCTGTCATCCACCCATCCATCTGCCCGTCCATCCTTTCATCCGTCCATCTTCATACAGCTTACTGCCCCTGCAGTGCACTTAAGGACCGGCTGATTATAACTTTGGTTAAATGATGCCAGGTTGCATTCTTCACTGATCAAATGAAAAAGTGGGTTTGTTTATGATTTTTCTTAAGGGGAAACAATGTAAACGAGACCATAGTTTTGAAAAAAACAGAAGGAAGAATGACCTTATTTTCCAAATTCCTGATCCTAGCAACAAATGGTGGAATGCAGCTGGTTTAATTAAACATGTATTGCAGTGCAAAAGCCCGCAAACGCTTCTTAAAAAAGCCGCTGGCTGAGTGTCCCAGGGGCTCTGCAGCTTAATCTCTTTGTTCTGTTAGTCTTTGTCAGCATCGCTTCTGCTAACTGGCTCTAAGAGGGAAAACACGAATTTCAGCACTAATCCATTCATTATTTCGGCAAAGTGAATCGTACACTATCGTTTAGGGTTCACATTTCATGGGGTGTGGGCAGTGACCCCCTCACTGCTGGGCATGCCCAGGAATGGACAGGTGTTCTGCATGAGGATACCAGCATGCCCCCACCCCCGCACCCCCCAGGCCCAGGACAGTATGGAGGATATCCCTTGAGAAACAGTATCTACTTTTTTGCATCGTATTTACGCATAATAAAGGAAATGCCCCGGAGTGTTTCCCGCCTGCAGGATTCACTGCAGGGATAACAGCTCAGCGTTTTAGCTCTGGCTGATGTTCCTGCTCCTCTGAAGCTGTACCCGGTCATTTATCTCTCCTTGGTCCTTCCTCTCCTTTTGGTGGGGGGGGGTGAATGTGCCCAGCTTTGGTGTCGGAACCTCGGCCTTTGAGCTGAAGGCAGCTCCGTCACCCCACCAGGAGTCCCAAATTCACAGGTGTAAGCCACACTCCGCTTTGAACCCCAGGCCAAAGAATCCTCCTGAACGTCCACAGGTGGGGGCCGATACCACTGCAAAGTACACGCAGCCTTGCGTGCCACCGTATCATGTTCTCCTACCTGCTCCCGCCCCTCCATGCAGTCTGCGTAGTCTTATTTCTTCCAAGCTGCTTGTTTTGCGTTTTTTAGCTTCTCACGGTTCTCTCCAGCCACTTGTACACCTTCTCCCTACCATGTTCTCCTCACATGTGCTCAGCGGCATGAACGCAATCTCATGAATTCCATTGTTTGGGCTGGAGGAGCTGGACTGAGCAGATCGTGGTCGAGGTCTCTGAGTGTGTGTATGTGTGGGTGGGGGGGGGGGGGGTGGTTGACAGTTCTCTGTAGGCCTGGATGACTTCTTTACGAACTTCATGTCTTTAAGTCAGCCATGCAGGAGCATAACCAGTGGTACTGAACAGAGGCAGGTTCGGCTGCTTGCACTGTGCCCCCAGAACAGGCTCCTCCCCTGTGGAGCTCGAACTTATGCAGTGCGGTGCAGTGCAGCAGCAGCTGGCATCCGCTGGGCCGCATGATCAGGGCTGGTCCTTCTCTATTTGGGGTCACACCCTGGACCAGCAGCAGAGGAGCTTTCGCCTTCCTGCTCTGCTGGATCTGCTCTGCAGTAGCTCCTCCAGCACTGAGACCCCCAGGGAGTCTGGCGTGGATTTTGTCATGGAGATATGGACTTATGGAGGACATAGCACCACCCCCGTGGGGGGGCAAGCGTGAGGCTGGAAACAGATGCCACAGACTCTGAGGGATCGTTAATCGAAGCCTGTCCAGAGCTGTTTGCCTCCAGGATATTTGCGGGCTCAGCAGAACAGTGGGTTATGCCACCATCCTAGTGTGCAATGACAGCTACGGGGGGGTCCAAGAAATAGGTCTGTCAAAACCCTGAATTGCTGGATTCCACTGTCATCCCAGCATGCAGTTAGGGTTTAACTCCTCCAACCGACAGTAAAGACAGAGATGGGATCCCTTTTAACAGCCCTTAAAATTCTTGTTTCTTTTGCTCCTTCATCTGAGAAACAGCAAAATGTCTTCATTTTAAATGCCTTTTTCCAGCATTACTCTCTGCAGGGGCCGCAAACGGCCGTACGACGGCCAGCAAGCTCGCCATACAGCCAAAGTACGGCCAGCAAGTCCCTCAAAAGGCCGTACGACAGTCAGCTCTGCACACGACTGTATGACGGCCATTCAACCCCCCAAACAGCCATACGATGGCCAGATAGCCTCCCAAATGGCCATAAAACAGCCAGCTTTGCATATGACCGTATGATGGCCAGCTAGCCCCCCGAACAGCTGTACCATGGCCAGCTAGCCCCCCGAACGGCCATATGATGGCCAGCTCTGCAGAGAGGCTGTCTAGGATTCCGAGTCCAGCCGAGGGCTCAGTGATTCTGAGGGGCCCACTTGACGTCCTGCGCCAGAAAGCAGCAGAAGTTCATTTGCAGAACGTGGAAGTGATTAGGCTGGACAGATGTGGGGCTGTTTAGTTTTGCTGACAGAGGTTTGGGGGAGGTTGTCGTGAAGGGGAGAAGACCCGTTTTTTTCGCTGACAGATTGAAAGGCGGGAGCAGCGGTGTGAGGCACACTGACTCATAGGTGGCGCTATTTCCCTTGGGCCATACACAGTGTCCTCTGTATGACATCCCACTTCCCGGGAGTCGTGAGGGGTCGGCTCCCCTCCAGACCTCTTATGTCAATGAGGGAAGGATTCTGGTCTTGAGATGGGGGGCCTGTTGGGGGTGGGGGTCTGGCAAATGCTCTCATATGTTTCCCGTGATGTTTGTGAAAGTCTCCCTTTGTGTTGCCTCCCCCCCACCCACAGCCTCACGGTCACTGAACATCTGAGTACCTCTCGGGGGCCACAGGATGTTTGAGAGACCAGAAAAAGAACAAAGAGTCCTGGGAGAACATGCCCCCTGCTTTTCTGATTTCCCCACGTCCTGGAAGAACATGCCCCTCCCTGTTTATCTGAAGATGCCCCCCCGCCTCACACTTTTCTTATTTACCCATGTTCTGGGTGCAGTTTGCTGCTTCAAGACCCCTTCTTCTACTGCATAATGGTTAAAGGAGAAGGGTATTGGTTTGAATGTCATCAAGGAACGTGATTTCACAGGGGCTAATTTGGAATGTGTACTGGTTCTGTTAGCAGATGCTGTTATCCAAAGCCACGTACAATGGCGAGAACAGGATCAGACAGTCCCTGGAACAGTTGGTGGTTAGGGTCCTTGCCTAAGGGATCAACCAACAAATCACTCAATCGAATTTGGGATGCGAACCAGAAACCTTCTGATCATAGGCACAGAATTCCAACCTGCTGAGTCACATAAGGGTGGGCATAAGGTGCACACTTGGAAACAACTGAGGGGGGGGGGATTTGAACCCTCAGGCCCAGTTCCGAATGGGGTGTCTGTGCCTGGTTCACTCCTCGCTGACACTGATCTCCCCGCCTTCCACAGGTCGCCCCCCCGGCCCAGCCCAGGAAGCCTCCACTACTCAGACGAGGACATCAGTACCAAGTACAACGACCTGATCCCAGCTGAGAGCAGCAGCCTGACCGAGAAGCCTTCTGAGATCTCCGACTCGCAGGTACTGGCAGAACCCCCACCCTTTACGCTGTCTCAGGGTGGTGCCGTGACGGAGTCGAGGAGGGTGGGCAGGCTGCTCCTAAAAAGGCGCAGTGGGGTTCCTGCAGAACCCCCCCCAGCTACATATGGTCAGAGAAGGTGGGGGGGGGGGCGCTGTGGTTTAACACAGCGGCCAGTCACAAGCTGGTCTTTCTCCCTCCAAAGTGTCAAAGCAGACGCCGGGTGCGTAAATAAAGCAGGGCATCCCGCGGCGGGTTTGGGCCTGGAAGAGGCCCCCTGTTGGCTGGGCCCAGGGCACAGAGCTGCCGTTCAGATACCGGCACAAAAGCCCAAGTGTCTGCAGCCCCCCGTGCCAACTGGACTCCAGGGGCAGCCGTGCCCTCTGCTCGGGAGACTGTGCCGGGCATCAAACCAGCCGTCCCAAACAGCTTCAATTCTCTCACCCTCTTTCTTCCTCTCTAACTCTGTCCCACCCTCTCCCCCTCTGTTTCTTTCTCTCCCAAGATCTTTCCATTTCTTTCTCTTCATCATTCCATCTCTCTCTCCCTCCATCTTTCCCTCTCTCCCCTTCTCTACCACTCTTTCTCTCTTCCACCCTCTCTCTCCCTCCTTTCCTTTTTTCTTACTGCCCTCCCTCTAACACTCACATTCTCCTCTTTTCTATTTCTTCATCATTCTAATTTCTTGCCCCTGCCTCCCTCTTTTTCCACTTCTCTGTTTCCTCTCATATATTCTTTCCCATTGGTTCATTTCCCCAATCCTCACCTTTATGGTCAGTGTTGAAGTGACCCCTCCCCTCACCCACCAAGGCTTTACTTCACACTGGGACTCCCTGATTTCTTCTGTACTCTGTGCACCTTGGCCCCTCATCACAGTCCACGTGATTTTTCGCCATGCAGGAATGTTCCGGCAGGGGGGTGGCTCTCTGCCTGGCTCCCCTCGTTGGAAGCCGAAAGGGGACAGGAAATTCCCTGGTTTTTCCCTTTACAGTGGAATTTTTTATCCACTCTCTGGAATCACAGGCCTGCCTGGAATCCAGCTCTCCCGACCTTGAGAGCTGGCTCTTGCCTCTCTCAGTCTTGAGGGCTGCCTCCTGCCTCTCTCGGCCTTGAGAGCTGGCTCCTGCCTCTGTTTACGGCTCTCTCAGCCTTCAGGGATGCCTCCTGCCTCTCTCGGCCTTGAGGGCTGGCTCCTGCCTCTCCCTCCGGCTCTCTCAGCCTTGAGGGCTGCCTTCTGCCTCTCTCAGCCTTGAGAGCTGGCTCCTGCCTCTCTCTCCGGCTCTCCCAGCCTTGAGGGCTGCCTCCTGCCTCTCTCAGCCTTGAGAGCTGGCTCCTGTTCACACCCAGTGTGCACCTTGTTTGTTTAAAAAAAAAAATTGAAACATAACGTACGAAGTGTACAGTGCTATAAAGCCGCTCAACTAAAGGGCGCGTTTCTACCACACCAGGTACTGGACTATTGGAACCTGAAGAAGGTGTTGGTTTTCCACTGGTGTGAAAACTGGTGCTGGCACCGAATGACATTACAATACGAGGTGGATATTTTGTACTGAATTTGAAAAATGGCTGTAGAATATTATAGGCCTGGCTGATGTGCGATATTAATACCAACGTTGCATGTTATGCACAGCCAATTCTTACATCGCTAGTCAGCGAGATAAGGCTTTTTGTTACCTTCAGTGTGCAAATATTATTTTATTTAGTTTAAGTCTCACTAGAACATTTTTTATTCTATCATAGGAAAAAAAAAAACTTCAGGTTTTGCAATTTTCATGATTATTCCTTTTCAATATTATCTAGTATATGTTTAAAAATCAGTTTGAAGTTTACCTCCGCTGCTTTTGCATGAGTGATGTATGCGTGCTTCAAGACAATCATAATCATTTTCATGATTCCTGGTTAAGTCACTCCTAGACAGATTTGTGAGAAATTTATATTGAACTCCTTTTTTGTTTCATAAATACCCCAATATTTATTACAGCATAATCACATTGCAATACTTGAAAAGTTTTCCAATATCATGCTGTCATAGTATATTAAACATGAAATACTTTCATTCTTGTTATGCTATCCTGATCTTGATCTTGTTGTCTCGGTTCGTCCGACCAGGTCGTAATTAAAGCTTGTGTCACTACATTTGTCCATGCAACTATTATTATTATTTTTATAATTTTTTTCACATCTTTGATGTAATAGGTCAACCGGAGAAAGCTCAATACTAACAAGCTGAAAGGAGCCATATCGCCACCTATAGTAGCGGAGTCGGACATACTTCGGGCAATAAATCGATTCCCCTCCCATGCATGTATACTGACAGTAGTCCCATTAAATGCCGTAGTTAGGCTATAACCGTAGCTTGATTTAGCTGCGCATGTTAACGTACTGACTTACAGGTAAAATAGTCAAGTCGAGTGGTTTTACTGTCATACCATCCATGTACAGGTATACAGTGGCATGAAATATCACTCCCCCAGGAGCAAGATGTCACACACAGACAGGATGGAATGAGTGACAGGGGGAGGGTTTTCACAGTACAGAATGAAACAGGGGGCTGGACATAAGGGGCTACAAGCATAACTCAAGGGGTTATATACATACATAACGGGGCTATATACATAACACAAGGGGTTATATACATACATAACGGGCTATATACATAACACAAGGGGCTATATACATACATAAGGTGCTATATACATAAAACAAGGGGTTATATATATACATAAGGGGCTATATACATAAAACAAGGGGCTATATACATACATAAGAGGCTGTATACATAAAACAAGGGGTTATATACATAAATAAGGGGTCAAATACATACATAAGGGGCTATATACATAAAACAAGGGGTTATATACATAAGGGGCTATATACATAAAACAAGGGGTTATATACATTCATCAATGGCTGTATACATAACACAAGGCTTTATATAAATATATTAGGGACTATGTACATAACACAAGGCTTTATATACATACACAAGGCTTTATATACATATATTAGGGGTTATATACATAACACAAGGCTTTATATACATACATAAGGGGTTATACACATAAATAGGGGCTATATACATAACACAAGGGGTTATATACACTGTGTCGCAACAGAAAGAGAGAAAGCTCACTGGACCCCACCCCCCACAGCGGGCGGCACCCCTCACACAAAGTGGCCTTATTCTCTGATGTCCTTCCTGCCCGGGAAGGTGACACCAAACCTGCCACGTACTGGCATCATCACTCTCAGAGCGTGAAGGATGCCCGAAATTGCTCTTTGATGTTCCACAGAAATCTAATATCCCAGAGGGTGGCTACCCCTCAACCTCAGATTCCCAGAGGACACCCGGGCCTCCTTTGTGTTCTCAATCACGCATCACTGTCCGGGGACGCCCTGAGTCAAATGCCGTCACTCTGAGTCACCTGGGTACCTGGCACTTTCATTTACGGGGACATACATGCACCCAAAATAGTCCCATTTCAGCAATACAGCCGGGCAATCATGTGGGAGACTAAGCATGGACACGCCCAACGGGAGGGAGGCTGACACCCTTCTACTGTACTTCGTGAGGTCAGTGTGATTCCTTTGGAGAGTAACGCCCCAGGATCCGTGCCTATTTATGGAGCATTTTGGGAAAAGACAATTCATTCTTACTTGCCATCCCTACAAGGTGTTACTATCGTCTTCATGTCTAAGAGATCCTTTTAAATGAGACAAAAGACGTTACGTTGTTTCCTTTTTGCAGGTTTAGCACACAAATTCAATGACGGCTGTAAATAATAAACATGAACTGGCATATGTAGTCAGAACAGACAGTAATTTAAGGGCTGCGTGGGAAGATGTGTGAAATCTTTTTGATGGGCCACATTGGCTATATTAGGACATTCAGTGCTGGATAATCTGACCTCTTCAGATGTGGGGAAAAAATGCCACCATTGCGGCAAATCAACTCACTGCGGTAAATTGGCTCATTTTAGGTTAAAGCCATGTTTACTCAGATCCCCCCATCCCACCATTTGTGACTGTTTGCTATGGGAGATTAAAACCACCCCACCCGCCACTAACCCTAACCCCAAACTGCAGTTAAGCTATATTCCATATCTGTAGTGTAATTAAACCAGCCCACTGTCTCTGATTGTTTGGCTCTGGAGCCTTTAAGCCTCAGTCTGCAGATAATGGTCTGGGGGGTCGGTGCCGGGTCACTGAGAGCCCCGGCAGCAGATCGCGGACGTGCTCCAGATCCATGTTCTCAAAAGGGCTGTGCCTGTATCTTCCTGTCTTCAGATGAAGGTTTGTTGTTTCTGGAGCTGCACTGAAAACGTCACTTTAGACCCCCCCGGTGTGAGATGCAGAGAGTCGACTTTGTGCCTCACTGCCCAGTGTAGAGGAATCAGTTAGACAAACAGCACTTAGTTCACAACTCTAGGCCATTTCTGTACTTCTGCACTTATTGTATCATTCTCCTGTTGTTTTTCTTTTTCTTCATCTGGTCTCCTGTCTCAGCAAGCTTGTAGGGCAGCCTCAGAAAACAGACGGCTCTGACGAATCCATCCGCCCAAAATAGAGCCTCATTTTAAGAGTACCCCCCCACCCCCCGTCCCTGGGACATTCTGAGAATACAATGATCACTCAAGGTCCAATTTGGGCTGTCTGCTCCACATACTTTGCAGTACAAATAACTTCGGACCTAATCGTTGTTCCCATCAGAAAATGGGACGGGGAATGTAAAAGCTAGGAGGCGGGACCCAAGTGATTGATGAGGTCTGGCATTGGTCAGCAAGATGTCCATTACTCTCAGCCTTTCGTTAGGGTGTGGGGGAGGGTGAATAGAGCTAACGACATACTAATAAATATCTGCTAATAAAAACTACAAAAATGTAGGCATATACTAGGACACCTATTTCCTGTACACTAGGGGTCCTGAATGTTATACAGGGAATGATCCGTGTTGGGGGCAGTGGGGATAACTTTTGTGAGACATCCTTTTGGTGGGGTGGCAATGAGGATAGCTCACAAATATTCGGTTAGTCGGCATTATTCTATGCGGAAACGTCGCATAAAAAACGCTGCGTGGTAGTTAGTCAGGAAGCCTGCACGGCTGCTGGAGTTTTCTGAAAAATTTACATTATTGCAACAGCAGGCCGGCTCGGAATGAGGCCTCGGTGGTGGAGGTTAGCTTTCTTACGCCTGCTGACTTTATTAGAGAGAAATATCCAGCCTGAATGGTGGTTTTCCCTGAGGACCAGAGGCAGATGAATGTCACCCGTGGGATTCGCTCCAATTTGAAAAATGGAGTAATCAGGAAAAACACAACAATAGCAGCGGAAAATGGAGCCGTAGCGAGTTAACAGACCACAGCTTCTGAAAAGCAAGGGCTCTGGCCTCAAAGACACGCGGAGGTCAGCTCCGCGGGCTGGAAGAGCAGGCTAGCGGCACCTCCGACAGCCGGCTGCTCCTGCAATGCCTCCAGATACCTCCTGTGCAAATAAATCCACTTTCAGGGAATTTTTTTTTGGGGAGCGTCATCTTACATTTATTAAACTTTGTTATGCAAACATAGGTTATACAGAACATCCTCCTGCATACCAGGGCCCAGAACCCATCATGTGTATCATCTCCTTCTCTGCCAAATCCTTGAACTCCTCCATTGTTTTTGTGGTGTTTGTTTTTAGTCTAACTGTTTGTGACCGGCCGCCGGCACAGGCCGTGTGACCACTCCCAGCTGGAGTGTCGCGGTGTCGTTAAGCGCATCCTAGTGGCTCGACACTCACGGCATCCGCCTCATGTGCCCCGCGGCCTCCAGCAGTCACAAATATATAGAAGTGTGTCCTCGAGATGTTGTGGTGGAAATTCCCAAATTCCTTGTAATAAGAGAGCTAAAAAATGCTGACCAAAAAGGAACCATCTCTTTGTCCACCTGTAGGAGGCGCTCATGTTCTCATATAAAAGTAGTGGTCTTCGTGTTCAGCCACTTCATTTGGTGAGGTCCTCCAGCTACCTATGTGGGTGTGTTTGCCTGTGTGTGTGTGGGGTGGGGCTATCTCTTCTGGCATGTTTTCATGCTGCCTGTTTACAGACCTTTATCTTTATGGCTTTCTTGTGTAGAACTTCTCGGATTACCGCTCATATAGTTCTGCCTGATGACCATGTGACCATGGCGATTGGATAACGTACGCAAACATGAAGGGGATTAGTGCCTGTGGTTTGGATCTTTGGTTTGACGGCAGGTAGTCAGCAGTTGGACCGCATGCCTGGTGCTCCTCTGCTAAATTAATCCAAGTTTTGCTGCGCATTTGTAACAGCTGTGTTTGCTCGGAGGACCCGGGCTGGTAACCATCATGTGGAGTATGACAGCATTGTCCCACCCCGTCTTGTCCCCCCTCCATTACAGGGCAGCGACAGTGAGTACGAAGTGGACCAGAACCGGCAGAAGACTCACTCCTTTGTCAACCACTACATCAGCGACCCCACCTACTACAACTCGTGGCGGCGCCAGCAGAAGGGCATTTCCCGGGCCCAGGCCTACAGCTACACGGAGTCCGACTCGGGGGATGCTGAGCACGGCACTGCACCCCCACCCCTGCCCCCGCTCCCCCCACTGCCGCCCCAGCTGAACCCCACGCCCCAGGCCGTGGGTCAGGTCCAGCCCCAGACCCAGGCTCAGGCCCAGGCACAGAGCAGCCTTTTCAGGCCCAAAGGTAGCCGGACTCCCACCCCGTCACAGCAGACCTCCAATCCCCCAAGCCAGCACAGCACCCTCTACAGGCCACCCAGCAGCCTAGCACCTGGCTCACGAGCCCCCATCGGGGGATTCTCCTCCTTTGTTTGACGTGGGGAATAAAAAAAGACGACAGCAAAGACTCTAAACAAACACGAAACACAGACAAATCGGTGTTTCACGGAGATTCCTGCATCGTCGGCTTTCCTTTGTTCTCTCCTCAGATTCCCTGATGCCAGAAGTTTTCTGTGTTTATTAAGCATTTTTTTTATTATTATTATTTTTGCATGTGTGTATACTGGCGTGGACCCGTGTGTTCTGACACGTTTGTCTGCTTTGTTTTCACTTTTTTTTTTGGGGGGGGGGGGGTGAGTTGCATGTTTTTTTTCCTGCAACTTATTAATTTTATTTTAAATGTTCTTTTATTCATCAAACCAAAAACCATGGGAGTCTGTAAACGGAAACCTGTTACAATGGGAAATGCAATCAAAGGGTATTTGGGGTGCCATTCAGGCAGGTGACGTCACCAGAGGATGGAGATGAGGGACAAAGGGAGTGAGGAAGGGGAACAGAAGAGCGAGGCGAAGCGTGAAGACTGCTAACGGAGTCTAAGTCCACCTAAGACTACAGCCCAGACTGTACTTGGAAGTTGTGCTGTGACCCAGTGGAATGTTTTGGCAGGAAAACTGGATGTTGTCTGGAGGCTGCCCTCAGATTGATGCCAAGGGTCAGAGGTCACAGGTACGCGGTGAAGCCAGAGAAAGGTTTTTGGGTGAAGCGGTGACAGACTGGAAACAGGAACATTCCGGATACTCCTGACTCATCAGACACAGCAGCAAGGCTCTCCCTGTTCACATCCTAAAAATATGGGTGTGAATGTACGTGAATCAGACCCCGTAACGTCCCCGGTGGAATTACACACCTTATACATGTTTGTAAGTCACTTCCTGTATGAAAAATTCAACATGCACATTACTGTCCGTTTGAAAGTCGTGCCCAGATCTCCTGTGTATTTCAGCTGCAGGGTGAGTGAAGTGAAGGTATTACAGTATCTGGGATCAGGGTATAAGGCACAGATTTACCGCCCGCTGTTGCTGTTGATGACATCATCTCTGTGCCAGCGCCAGCAAGTGACATCATGGGCAGTGTCACTCAACTTTCCCACTGAAAGAGAGGTAAACTCACGGCCTTGTTAAACCCGGCAGCGTGATTTATGGAGGTCTAACCAGCGCTGTCTGAGCACGCTGAGTAAAATGCGGTGGAAGAAGACAGGAAGCCACAAAGAGGAAGTGGCGTGGTCCTATGCTTCAGTGTGTGACTGATCCTTAAGGAGGACGTCAGGCGAAAAGCGTAGCTTGGAGCGTGTTCTCCTGCATGGGCTGTGTGACAGTGGCCCTCGGGGGTCTGTGGCCATAAAAGCCTGTTTGCAAAGCACCATGGGAGATAGGTGATAGCAGGCTGGCTGGGTTCTCACCTACGTGTCACAAACCTACATCTCAACTATTTATGGCCAAAATACCATCTACTTTTCTCTCAGAAAAACACTCTCTGCACATAAGCTTGTCATCTAGACAGTATAAAAATACAACAATAATATGGGCATGTTGAATATTTTTTAGCGCTGAAGGCTTTGCATCGAACTGTAGCTTGGGGTGTTTTTGGAAGGTGGGGGAGTGGATTTAGAAGGCGGCCTTGAGGTCACATTGCGGTAACCATGGAAACACGTAGTCAGGGCCATAGCGGTAAACAGGTATGCACTAAAGGGGCCTGTTTGCCTGGGAGAACCCGAACAACGGCATCTGCAGAGGATGAAAGGGCCGCCACAGGCCTGAGTCACCAAAGCAGAATCATCTCATTATGCTTGGAGGCCTCATAAAATGAACTCTTTGGCTGGTTTCCGTACCGTAGCAGTGAGCTGAGCCAGTGCACAGACACAGCGTCATTTGGAAAGTCAGTCTCAGAAGCAGGGTTGGGGGTACAGTGATGGGAGGGACAGGAGGTAGGAGGNGGGGGGGGGGTACAGTGATGGGAGGGACAGGAGGTAGGAGGCTGACCCGGGAATATAGCCCACTTTAGGCTGCTGTCCCAGGGGGTGTAATCATTTGATGGGCAGGTGCTCTGGGATGGGGTCACGCCTAAATTATGATGGGGGGTACCATGATCATCAGTGACTGAAAAGGGGCCTGATCCAGATAAATTCATTTGTAATAATAATAACAACAATGGATACATTTACGATAAATTCTTATTACGCATCGATATGACTAACGCAAGCCACATTTTCAGATATAACATTACAATATAATCTAACTTATTATGTTTGAATAGCATTTTCATCTGACAAGTAGGGGGTGCATCCCTTACTCTCGCCTGTGCCCGGGTAAGTGGGGATGTATGTAGAACGACACAGAAGGCCGGGTCTCAGACAAGCAGCCTTAAGTAACTGTCAGATTCCCCGAGCAGGTGGCCGGGGCCGGGATGCGGCCATCGGACTGTGGCATGGAAGGCGTCGGCGCACGGCTGCTCGGCTTCTTACGACACATGGTGTCGTCGAGTCTAGCGGTGTCCAGCTGACTCTCAGCCTGTGTCACTCTCGTGGGCTCTACATCTGCGTCCATCCTCTATTCTTTAGGAAGGTGGGCTTTGCTGTCTGTCAGCCTGTAGCTGGATGCATGCAGGGGGCCCAGGCCATGCACTTGACTGCCCTGCCGTCTTTCCAGGGCTCTGTGGAAACCAGTGACCTTGACAACTGGTATGACAACAACGTGAACCACATGACCGTGTGCATTAGGCACGGAGGCCAGGCAGGCTGCTATAGGAGTATATAAACACACAGGCCGTACCTGCCTCATCCAGTCAGGTGAGGGGCGCAGGTAGGACCCCTGATGGACTCAAAGGGGCTTCCGAGGCCCGTCCCAAAGGCCGAGGTTGCCCGCGGCTCCCCCGACAGGACAGAGACGCAGCTTCGGAGTCACAAATCACTTTGGATGTGTCACACACATTCCATGCGATTTCTGCGACCCTCCCCCTGCCCTTTCTGTCAGAGGACTTGGGAGGAGTAAAATATTCGAGTACAAGGGGTATGTATGACCTAAAATAAACCGTGAACAGCAACATTACACCTGAGCCCTGACTCCATTCCATTCCCACGACATTCGTCAGCACTGCCGTCGTCAGTGATGGTGAACGAGAGTCTGAAAGATCACAGGAAGAAGACAATGAATATGGAAACAAAAATAGCTATTTCTGTCACAAGCTATTTCTGCTTTTTTTTTTCTTTGAGTGGGTCCTGACAGGACTCATGACTACGAGAACCAGCTGGTCTGGGTCGGTCCACATGACCGTGAGCAGTGTCCACCCAACCCCTGCGAACCAAGCATTGTACAAATGTTCTATCACTGTTCCCATGTCCAAAGCTAACAAAAGTACAAGTCCACCTATAAAATATATTCTACAAAAGAAAATCGATATTTATTTTTAATAAGAAATGATAGTGAAATATATATATATAAATGATTTAAAATGTGGCTGGTTGTAAGGCCTGTCTTCTCAGCTGTGACAAAGACTTTGGACCACACTGTGTGTTGAATAATCTAACCATGGGAGAGGACTTTTTGAAATTAGGGTCTAACAAAACCACCCCACATCACCGTATATGCTGCCTGTATCATGTATTTTTTTATTTTAAAAGAATTTCACCTTTGCTGTTTTGTGAAACGTGATAGTATGCGTTTGCTGAATCGGACCACAGGTCCAAATCAATGCTTCGTGAGTGAATCAAAAGGCGCCTTTTGGTCAAATGTGCAGGATATTTCCACAGTTTGAGGTTATTTTCAAGATGGTTATGTTTATTTTGTGTTATCTTACTGTGGGGTGTAAATAGCCAGTACCATTGGCTACTTGCTGCCAACGCTGGATTGGGGGGGAGGGGTGTTTTCAAACTGTCAACGTTTGACCTTCTCCTCCAGGACATAATGTATTATACTGAGTGTATAGTGCCAAGGATGTATTCTGTGTGATCAAATATATTCTTTATTAGATTACAAAAAAAAGTTTAAAAAAAAAAAAGAAAAATAAAAAATCTCACTTGAAACGATATGTGGAGCTATCTGATGTTTTGACCGCTATGGGCAGATTTTCAGGTAGATGCGAGAATTTGAGATGAACAGATGATTTAAAAAAAAAGCAATCATTATTTTCTAAATGATAATGATAATAAAACAAAATGCATTTAAATGGCTGTGAGTGTTGAAAGGATGCGAGATGTTGCGCTCATCAGAGAGATGGATCTGGCCGGACCTCCTCTGATTGCCATTGAATCCGTCACCTTCGCCCTGGTGCCGGACGCCCTCTCAGGGTAAGTCAGTCTTTTACAGGTTCCTGTTTCACAAATATGAACGATATGAGTCCGAGATGCGCCAGGAAAACGTAAAAGTGCCTTTAGAAAAGCCAAACCCTAAATGCTGATAAAAACTGGAATGATAAAGGATAATCACGGCAGAACATAAGGGCACTTTCTGTTTCAAGTAAAGTGTTTTTGTGTGGGTGGATTGAGTGGTTACAACGCTTTATGGTGTAGCCTACTGAGCCACTTCAGATGGTCTAATTTACTTCAGTAAACCATAAAATTGAGTTTAAATGGATTTATAAAAAATAACCAGCTGTCCATTGTGGGACGAAGGCCAGGTAATGGAAACAGAATTTTATCTTCTTGCAAGCTGTAATTATTTAATTGTTGCAATTTAAGGACTCCGTGGGTGAGAGTAAAACAGTATCATGTCGCTTTTAAGTTTCTTTGCGGCAGATTTATGAGTAATGGACCGCATTTGCTTTTCTTTCCCTTGAAATGTCTTCATTACAAAGTTAAAACGACCGCGTGTTATCGTTGTTATTGTTACTATTCGGAAAAAAAAAAGTTATCCATATAGGGACAGGTAAAGTATGGACTTTTTAATAAGATCGAATGTCTAAGCGCAAAAGCTCCGTCGCTTTAAATGTGGGAGGAGGAGGCGATTAGCGGTAGGACGGCTGGGTATTATGGAGATGGGGAGGGCCGGCTTAGTTCAGGGCTGGCCGAGGAGAGTCCGAAGTCCGGAGTACAGAAAGCTCCAGCTGCTGCGATCGGCGGACCGGTACACATTAACGAAGGCTACAAGGGGGGCTGACGAGGGGATTTACGGGGCATTGGAGGGGGAGAAGGAAGGAAGATCCCGGCGTGAAACGGGGATTTACAGCGCATTTCGTCTACGGTAAAGGCACCGTCCGCTTTGGCTACTTCAGCCCCCTGCTTGGTTTACCGGCCCTTTGCATTTCGGCTATTAACTGCACCTGGATGATCAGGTTCTTACCGCCGGACTCCACCTTTCCGCGGATGTTAATGTCTCTCTGGACCGTGGACGGGCTCCGGAATAATCCTATAATCCCGGTGTCTGTAGCGACGCCTGCATTAACCCCCCCTGCATTAACGCTATAACTCCGAACTTTTTATGACTCCGATGCTGCACGCGCGCCTTCCCGATACTTTGCATTCATGCTTTTGCGATTCTGCAGCCGAAGGGTTTACAGTCGCTCCCGTCTTCAGCACCCAGTTCCAGCGCACCCTTACTTGCCTCTTTAAGCGGCTCCCGGCGGAGTCTGTCTCCCGTTTGCGCTGCGGTCTCTCTCCGGTCCGGACCGAAGCCCTCCGCCTGACCCAATTCGGGCTCCGTGCACCGGGGCTTCTGCTCACATAGCCCCTGGATGGCTGTACGTGCTGGGACATATCGGGGCGTTTTTCCTGCTTGGGGTGCGGATCGGTATCCGCACGGCATTTAATATGAATCAGCATTTCATTACTGTGCCATGTCCTGACCGAAGGCTGCCGGTCAGATGCACGCGCCTCCCTTATCCCGTGTCGCGGTGTCATTTAGCGTAATGCCAGATTCTTAGCTGCTGTTATTGAAACGGTATGATATTAACTGCCGCCCCTCCTGGGTTGAGTTCAGAGGGTCAGATGCACGTCGTTGACACCGGTCGACTGGGTTTATTAACCGGGATAACGCGGAACTGGGGGGGGGGGGGTGTAAAGCAGCAGTTACCACCGCCCCCCCGGAAATCGGGTCAGTTAAAGTTAACAGGCGTAACACACAGCGACCCATCGCCAATCTGAGGAATGGGGTCCGAAAGGTGCTCTGTGTGCGGCCATTTCCCCGGATGGCACCTTGTAAGGGAGGGTGTGTGTATAACTTTCTTCTTTTATTACTTACGCCTGTTTACTTGGCAGGAGAGTTGAAGGTATCCTTAGACTGTAGTTAACATGCTGGCTGGCTGTGGCTTCTGAGAGCTATAAGTCTGATGAGTTATTACTCGTTGGCAGGGGGTGGTGCTGCGTGCCCCCCAACATCTGTGAGTAACTAAACTGACTTTCAGATGGACACAATTTGAGCTAGAGAAGTTTATAATATTCATTTGGAACCATTCACAGCTGGCCAACAGCAGGAAACAGAAATGCAAATGGGCACCTAGAAGCGACTCTATCGACCTCTATTATTAGTTACTGATTTTTTTAAGCTTTTCTTTCCCTGTCTTTGCATTTGTTGTGCATGGGCGGTTGTTCCTAGAAGGCGTAGTACTTTTATAGCTCCTCCCTTTCAGTTCCCCATCCTGAAATAAAATGCCTCTTTTTGTTTTTACCTGTAGCCTGTCACTCGTCTGGGTGGCCAACTGCCATATAGATCAGTCCCTTCTTGATAGTTTCCCCCCCAAGAGCCGCCTCTGTGTTTTTGGGGAGTGTTTTCTGGGGGTAACGGTCATTCTCTCTGGCCCCCGCTGCTCTCTGAGGGGAGGTGTTTCGCGGCAGAGATGTCGCGCTGACGGCCGTCGTCGGGTGCTAACGTGCCATAGCTGCTGTCTCTTCCTGTAGCTGTGACGACGGCCGGTGTGCCAGATGCTCTCTGCAGCTGCAAACTGTGGGAAACTGTTAAATGTACTGTGGAATATGGCGTGTGGAGCCGCCGGCGGGACTTGGGGCTCGTGCTGGTCAATACGCTTTTTCGTAAGTCTGTTCTTCATCCCCTACTCTCTTTTGTCCTGGAGGGGAGACGGCTGTTGACCTATGACCCCATCTCCCCCCCCCCCCCCCCCCCCCTCAGAGCCCAGCACACCTGTACCAAACAATCTACCTGCTACACGTCTGTATTATAAATCTGAGGGATTTATGGAAGTTAGGGGAGGGGCCATTGCTGGCTGACGCCTCTTTAATCCCCATCGTATCCTATAGTCTTGTAGTTGTTCCTTGACGCTCTTATTTATGGTGGTTCCCCCATCCCGGCTCGGATCACTGCTCGATTTCCTCCCCATTCGTGTCCTTTTCTGCAACACAGGTGTTTTTTTTTTTTTCTTTTCTTTCTGGGGGTAACGGTCATTCTCTCTGGCCCCCGCTGCTCTCTGAGGGGAGGTGTTTCGCGGCAGAGATGTCGCGCTGACATCTCTTTGCCCCCTTCTCATTGCCGTTTCAGCCCGGGCTGAGTGAGGCGGCATGGAGATGCAGCCGTGAGGTCAACTTGCCCGTCTGGCGTTGGGGCAGGATGTGAAAGATGGAGAACGCAGAGTTTAAAACCACAGTGTTTCTGTCTCAGAGCACTTCCCTGGAGCTCTGGCCTGTTTGATTCAAACGCCCCCCCCCCCCAGAGTCCCGAGTTATGGCATCATGCACAGTTTAACCAATTACAGGCTGCTTTGGCAAGTTTTGCCAGCCGGATATGCCCCCCCCCCCCTCTCTGGGCACACCATCCCAGTCACTTCATGTTCACTGGAGAAACTCCAGCACTGTACAGTCACTGGACCTGGCAGATGGTTCTGTCAGAAGAGTGGATTCTTGGCTGCACTGTCTCCCTATGTGACTTGCTGGGCCCTTGAGGTTCCTGGTGCCAGTTTCAGGTTGTAAGACTGGTGTGCTGTGCTTAGGGTGGTCCCTGGAAATGGGGGGGGGGGGGGGGATGTTTGCCACTCTCTGAAAATGGTGGGCTATCTGGCACTCTTGTGTACCGTCCTCGCCAGCCCGTGGCAGGAAATTCCAGCGTAAATCGTTTGTTTTTGCTGGAATTCGCCCATTGCAGTGAGCGGCGTGGCTTGGCGCAGGGACGGGAAGTGTCGGGTGTGAGGCCAGGGCCATGGGTGAGCATTGGAGAGAGGTGGTTTTGAGGGTGGGGTCCACCTCGTGTTGAACAGCTTTAATAACTCTGCGCAGGGCTAGCCGAATAAGGTCGTCCCAGCATGCCGTGGGGCAGCCCTGTGATGTGGGTGTCGTACTGCATGAAACACTTAGCTTTCTGTTTAGCTGGTCTCTCCAGAGTCACTCCGCCATTCATCTTTGCGTCACATCAAACCACTTTGGAAATTCATGCAAATACCTCAGCAGAGGCTGCGGGAGGAGCCAGGCCCCCACCCTCTGCGACGACCTCCGACCTCTGGAGTCACGGGTTCAAAGCTGTGAGCGTCACGTAACCCTGGGTCTGTAGCACACAGTCGCTTATTGTGTCCCGGCGGACAGGCCGCTGTCTCAGGCTGTACCCCCCCTGGTCTGAAGCTCAGTCAGCCAGTCTATGTAAACTCTTACTTTTTGATTCTCTTCATACATTATATGTAAATGCTGACTGAGACAATGAGAGGATGTGCTCGTCCTTTGGACTTGTGGTGCCCCGCTGCGGATCAACTATGTTTCTTTCAAGCTTGAAAACCGCCTTCCTTTCCTGAAAGGAAAATGTGCAAATAGTATCCTCTTTATGAAGGTTTTTAATGTAAGAAATTTAACACTTTATACATTCTCACTTTATATCCAGACATAAATATTTATTATTTATTGTTTATTATTATTATTATTTATTACCATAAATCCAGGCCTTGGTTTTTGTTTATTGTAGTTTCTGTGTTGTTTGACATGTGTTCATGTTGTGTACTGGTGCTATTAGGAGTGAGCCGAATACTTTTTACTTGTTTGCATGCGTCATTATAAATAATTCTGATTCTTGAATGTGGCTCTTGCAAAATGGTGTACGTGTAGCAGAAATGAAAAGCCTCGCCGCTAGACTGAGCCCCCCAGACTGTCTTGAAGGCCTGGCGTTCCCCCTTCCTGCCACGCCGCCGCCCCGGTAATCCGGTGATCCTCCTCGGGCCACGCCGCGCCCAGGGCACTGCTTGTCAGGGATCCGCCGTTTGCAGTATTGGCGGTTAATGAAAGCTGAGAGAGCTGCTGTCCGGTGCCAGAGCGTTGTGGGGCAGGCACGTCCGGCCCCCGCCTTGGATACCTTTTGTGGCAATCGTTCCGTAGAACAACGAAGAACCAGTTCTGCCTCATGCCTGGATTTCCCCTCTGATTTA